CACCCAGGTGATCAGCATTGTAAATGGCATTCCATGGAAGAACATCACAGAACAAAATGTGATATGTCAGCTCCAAGTACAGAAAACAGATACAGTTTAATTAAGTTTTGGCTGGTGAGACTAGCCATCATGTCTGATAGATGCTGTTGCATTACAGCCTTTGACAACATGGGCTAGTATCCTGTTGCCTGAATACAAAGTGGTAGGGAAACTGAGTAAATGTTCTTTGCCCCAGTGGGTTCCCTATAGCATGCTAATTCTTGGGCTATTTGCAAAATGAGTCTGGGTTCCCTATAGCTAATTCTTGGGCTATTTGCAAAATGAGTCATTATGTACAGAATCATAGATGCAAATTAACCATTGAGATTATAGGACAGGTCACATCTAGAGTTCTCTTTTCCTTCCTACTATGATAGTCTTCTTTCTGTTCCTGCTGAAGAATTACTAGGTTTTACCAGTCCTTCTTCCTATTGTGATACTCAGACTTGTTGTTGTTTAGTCGTTAAGTCATGTCCGACTCTTCGTGACCCCATGGACCAGAGCACACCAGGCCCTCCTGTCTTCCACTGCCTCCCAGAGTTGTGTCAATTTCATGTTGGTGGCTTCGCAGACACTGTCCAACCATCTCGTACTCTGTCATCCCCTTTTCCTCTTGCCCTCACACTTTCCCAACATCAGGGTCTTTTCCAGGTGAAGCCAGACTAGAAGGGGTAAAATAGCAGAATGGAACTAGAAGCAGAGGCTGACATGGAAATGATGGTGGACCCACTTTCCTCATAATAATGAGGAAGATTTTCCCTGTGGCATAATAGGGGACAGGGACAAGATGTAAAGACATGGGTAAGTGTTTCCAAAGTGGTGTAGAGGACAGAGTGATGGCCTGGGACTTAGGAGATCAAATACCCCCTCAGTCATAGGAACTTATTGGTAGGGGGAAAACCTTATTAGGATCACTGTAAGTTGTTTCTGGCTTAATGGCACATGACATAGAAGTGTTGTCATGAAAAGGCAGTGAAGAACTCAGCTCTAGTGAAAAAGAAAGGATTTTTGATAAGGCACCAAAGAGATTATTGCTGTGGACGCAAACCTGCTGTGCTCTTGGACTGCAGCCCCCAGAAACTCTGGCCAGCACAGCTGGTGGTGAAGGCTTCTGAGAACTGCAGTCCAAAAACACCTGGATTACCCAAGGGTGGGAACCATTGTCCTTCACTATCAGCATACCAGTTTCATTGATATGAATAGGGAGCTAGTTGAAGGTGCTCATTCCTTAAGTGCTCAAGGCATCTAGCTGTAACAGCAAGAGCTTTTCACATCTCCCATAGTTCTAAATTAGCTTACTTTGTTTTGTGATTGGTCGTCAGGTATGGACTTTGTCTGCAAGTATGGCTGTTCAGATATGAAAATCTGACAGAAACATACCTCTAGGAGACTAACTTGGTTTCAGTTTCCAATGATATGTTAACTGTAACATATAATTGACCATTGGTGCCCATGTAACTTGTTTATTTCATCTTTGTGATGAATGGATAAGAATTTCCTTTGGTTCATTCTTGGATAAGAACTTTCTACAATGACCATATTTCTTTATACATCCAAAGGAAATTTTAAGAAAAGATTGAACATGGAAGAGAAACACAACTCACATGTTCACCTGCGGAGGCAGAGGGATTTTCAGTGTTCGGTTCTTAAAACTCTGGGTTTGAATCTATGTGTATTCCATAAACCAGCATATCAGTGATACTAAATTAGGGTTGCCACTTTTCGTGTGGTTTTTTTATTGCTTGTTTTTTGCATTGATCTTAGTTTCCCTTTTGTTTTTTAATAGTGCCTTTCCCCCCTAACATTCTATATATTTTCCACATGATCCTGTCTATAATGGGAATAAGTATACTTATTAAATTAGGGTTGAAATTTGAATCTAGCTTGTTTTTGATAAAAACTTTCTTCCAAATTTAATTTTTTTCTCATATTCCATAAAAGTACTTGTGATTTGGAAAAATCTCTTAATGCATACCTGACACGCTCATTCACAGCCTAATGTTTATCCCATCCTTCCTCTAAGACTTTGAGACTGATTAACAGGATTTCTCCTCTTTTCCTTGTACTATCTACAGAACAACCCTGCAAAGGAGGTTAGACAGAGAACTTATAACTTATTGGAAACTGGCTTGAGGCTACCCAATGAGCTTTGTAGCTAGCTGGAGATTTGAATCAGCATGCTCCAGGTCATAGTATTCTTCCATCATACCATATAGTGGCCAAAATCCTGTTGCATAGCATGATAAATTGCACTAACATAGGCACACTGAATCAATGGGGACTCAGTGGGTCAACTCCTCCATAAGTTCCATTGATCCAAATAGATCGATTCTAACTGAATAGTAACAATAGTATTCTGTTGTTACTATTCAGTTAGGGCAGGCCCACTGGAATCAATGGAACTTACAGATAAGTGGATGTACCAATTCCCCATTGATTCAATGGGCTTAGTGCAATTTACTATCCTAGGCAACAGGATTTGGGCCAGTGTCTCAAAGAGCAGTGTGTCTTATTGTCACAGATCAGGTGCATGCAGGTCTCTTTTCTCACATGCATTTCAGAGTAAGGCTAAGCTGTTTATATTATAATTACTAAAACATAATTAGTCTCTGCTTAGAGCCTGCAGGACATGCTTCCCATTTGCACAACAATTATCACTGTAATTCATTATACAAGTCCCATCAAGCATATTAAAAGTAGGATTTGCTATATTGAATGAGGCGACGGCCAGTTTGACCGATTAGTCGGATGGCACATTTTCAACAAAGCTGCTTACACATTAAGCTTTATTAAATGAGTAAGTCAAGCTGACAAGCAGTTGATCATCATGAAACCTGGTCTGTTTTTCCTGTAGTGTGGTTGGAGCATGCATTATTCACCAGAGGTAAATGAGGTTACCACAGAAAGAGCTCAAGGTATGGAAGTGTAGCTAGAACATTAAACAGGCTGGAAAGGAACAGCATCTTGAATCAATAATTTTATACCCGCCCCCAAAAGTGTAATGAGATCCTTAACCATGTCCCAGCTTTAAAATATCTGCCCATGAAAATTAAGATGGAACAGAAACAAATATTTACATGTATTCACGAAATTTCATGCAAATCCCAATGTATTCCCATTCTGATTCCAACGTTTCCCAACTTGAGGGTCATGATCCCCAAGAGGGTCACAAAATGTTTTCAGGGTACGTATGTGTTATGAGTTGCCTTATACTTACCATATAGCCTTTGTTGAAGAATGTCTTACTTGAACTTTCAGAGTGAGATATTAAAGTTAGGATGTGCATGTGTGCATGAGAAACAGACCCTCTGGGAGAAAAAGAAGCCTCCACTTTCTGAGAAGGGTTGACTTTACCCCATTCAAAATGCCTTTTTCTGCAAACATTTCTGTGAGGGGGGGAACACAGGTTACTTCGCTATTATAAAAGGGAAATGCAACTTGAAATAGGTCGGAAAACCCTGTTATATAGTATAGTAGGAAATTTAGAGAAACTTCAAGGGCTGCAGAAGTATAAAATAAAATTAAGAAAAAAACACTTGGGGAGGGGAGTAATAAGATAAACATTTCTATAAGGACCTCAGGTGCTCACTGCTATAGGATGCTGAGTGAGTTTGAGGATATGTAGCTATAATGAAATGTCATTAGAGGGACATAACTGTTAAGTTGGTTCAGTTCCTGTGCAGAAGCACTGTACACTGCTACTTTTTGTTGCAGGCCCTACTTGACAAACATCTGAACTTTCAAATCAGATGTGCCGTTTCAAGTCACAATTCGAACAAGAGAGTAAAAATGTCAAATTTACACAATTCATGGAAGCTTTCCAGGCTCTGCTACTGGAAACAGAATGGCAAGACTCAGCATGGTCCTCTTTAAATCAATGAGGAGAACATTAACCAAAAACGAAATTTATTCCATTGATTAAAACATGTATGCCACTCTAACCATGACTAGCGTTAGCTGAACTGCAAGATTTCGCTATAGCTTATTTTGCTTGCACCTCCAGTCATGGTACAGAGATAAGACAAACACTAAGAAATGCCTTTGTCCTTCTGTGGTAGGGATTAGGGAGCCTCAAGGAGTAAGGCAGCCAAATGTTTTGACCCCGCAAATATATATATTTTAACATCCCTTAGGTTGGAAGTCACTGGATCTATTTTGGGAGGCCACAGAATGCCTCTGGGAGCCACATGCAGCCTACAAACCATACAATGGCCACCCTAGCTCTACAATTTCTTTGTACTTCCTCTCAAGAAGAGCCTTGCCCAATTGCCTTTGATTTCATTTGAGGCACAGTTTGATGGTAACCTGGCTATAATTCAATCATGACTTTTAAGAGTTAAGCCTTCAAAGTCTTGAGCCAGTTTCTGTTTCCTCCATATATTTTTTGAGACCTCAAATACTTTTAATCATGGATGTTAAGAAATGAGTGCTCTTTTATATAAACTCTTATAAAAAAACAAAATGAAACAAAATTCCTATCCATCTCTACCTGAAAAACCAAAATTGTAAGTAGGGCACCACCTTAGGATCGTATATTCATTCATTCATTCATTCATTCATTCATCCATCCATCCATCCATCCATCCATCCATCCATCCATCCATCCATTCATTCATTCATTCATTCATTCATTCATTCATTCATTCATTCATTCATGTCTTTCTATCTTGCCCTACAACGGATCTCAGGGCATGATCACTCATACAGGTCTGTGCTTCTGGAATGGCTGTGTCAGAGAGACAGAACTTTTTAGAAGTGACTGAGTTCCAAAAACTATGATACTGTACGTTGGTTGGAGTGAGGGGAAGGTAATGCCATGCGATACACTAATTGCCATACAGCACAGAGTAACTTCTACTGTTTATTCCCTCTGCTGTAGTTGTTCAGTTGAAAAGGATTTTCTAGATCTGAATTTATCTGGGTTTGGTTTCTTCCCCCCTCCCCCACTTCTTTCTGCAGGGATGACAAAACTTTATAACAAGCCCAAAGAAATGTCTGATCTCATGTCATCTCAACCATGGATCGATGAAGCCCTGAGCAGCCAAGATGAGATGAAAGAAGAGGACAGCAGACAAGCTTCGTATGGAATCCTGGCCGGGCTCAATGAAGAACACGACAGCATTGAAGAAGAAGAGGAAGAAGAAGAAGATGGTGGAAAGCCAAAGAGAAGAGGCCCCAAGAAGAAGAAGATGACCAAGGCCAGACTGGAGCGGTTCAGGGCCCGCCGAGTGAAGGCAAATGCTCGGGAGCGAACACGTATGCATGGGCTCAATGATGCTCTGGATAACCTTAGGCGTGTAATGCCCTGCTACTCTAAAACTCAAAAGTTATCCAAAATTGAGACCCTGCGCCTAGCCAGGAACTACATCTGGGCTTTGTCAGAGGTGCTGGAAAGTGGGCAGACTCCAGAAGGAAAAGGTTTCATAGAGATGTTGTGTAAAGGTTTGTCCCAACCAACCAGTAACCTGGTTGCTGGTTGTCTTCAGCTGGGACCTCAGTCCCTGTTTTTGGAGAAACATGAGGAGAAAGCCCCTGTTTCTGACTCCGCTGTGCCCACTCACAGTTTTTCCTACCAGTCACCAGGGCTGCCCAGCCCACCATATGGAAGCATGGAGAGCCATCTTGTCCACTTAAAGCCCCCCACATTCAAGAGCTTGGTGGATCCTTCCTTCGGCAACCACCATCAAGACTGCACATCTCCACCATATGAAGGTCCCTTGACACCTCCTCTGAGCATCAGTGGGAATTTTTCTTTGAAGCAAGATGGTTCTCCAGACCTGGAAAAATCATACAGTTTCATGGCTCACTACCCGTCCGTTACTCTGGGTAGTGCTCACGGGCACACCTCTCATTTCTCAACTACAGTGCCCAGGTATGATATCCCCATAGATATGACCTATGACTCCTATCCTCACCATGTGGTTGGGGCACAGCTCAATGCAATCTTCAGTGAATAACGCAAGAGGATGAAATGTTCTGATGGATAAAATAAATATGATGGTTTTGTAGAGATGCTGTGACAGCTATAGCAATAATACAGTGAAAGGAGAGATTTGATTGACTTCAAAGCTTATACAGAGAGATAAGGATAACTATAGTTTCACACAAAGCCGTTTGGGAAGGAAAAAGCCCAAATCATATTTTAGGGGTTCTGTTTTACAGGCACTAAAATTGGTCCCCATTTGTAAAGAATATTTCCTCTTGCCTTGGTTTTTAGTCTGAAGACCCATGTTTGCATCACTAGGTCAGATTCCAAAAATGGTTCTGAAAGTTTGCAGCAAAATCTGACCACCTATAGCATCAATTGGCTTATTGCCTCCGACATTCACACAGACCCTTTTCTATCTAGTCCCCAAAGCAGTTTGAAAGGTTTCCTTTTTTTTAAAAAAAAAGAAAGATCAGTAGATATAAGTATATGTGGTACTTATTAAAAGCCCACTTGATATCCCATTGACAATGTTCAAGTAAGGCTCAAGGGGCGGTCCAGTCCTTTTCTCTCCATGGAACTGAGGAATAGTGCCATCTTGTCTTTTAATTCAGCTGTGGTAGTAGGATGGAATAAGGGAATGTTCACCTTCCGTTACGGAGAGTGAACATTTCCTTACAGAATCCAGTATCAACAACAGGCACATACACGCAGGTATATGTCTCTGTGTAGAGCAAATCACCAGGGAATGCTGCTAATATCACTGAAACTCTTTATACTCCCCCTCTACATCCCGGAAGATTTTTTTCACTTGGGCACAGTATATCAAATCTGTTCCAGGTTTTGTCCCTGCCTGCAGCATAATCTGATGTCCCTTCTTCCTTTCCTCCTCTTGCCCACCTCTTGTTTGTTGCAAAAGACAAAATTCAGCATCAGTAATTTAAAAAAGAAATGTTAGGGAAGTTCCTAGAAGTTTTTATAAGTTTGCCATATTTATTTTCCATAGTAATCCTACAAGTCAGTGGAAAGGAAAATGCAGAACAGAAAAAGCAGAGGCTATAAGAATTCTGCCCTCTTCCTCTCCTGTCTAGGAACAATGTAGAAGAAGAACCATACTCCTGCCCATCCACTAGGAATTCTAGATTTTAGCTCATGAAGGAAATTAGGAAGCTCATCAACTACACAAGTGGTTCCCAACCTTGGCGAACCCAGATATTCCTGGACTGCAATTCCCAGAAGCCTCCACCATCAGCTGTGCTGGCCAGGGTTTCTGGGAGTTGCAGTCCAAGAACACCTGAGTTATCCAAGGTTGGGAACCACTGAACTATGCGATTGGTGAGCAAAGCACAGTCCTCAAATATTGCTGAACTGCAACTCTCATTTGCTCTAGCATTGTCAGTGGTAAGGAACACTGGGAATTGCAGTGCAACAACATATGGAGGGTGACATTTTGTCCACCATTTGTCTACTCCAACCCAACACCTGGAGTCTTAGATACATATAGCCAGAGGCTTGGAGATGTATGAACATACACTAGTGCTCCTCAGAATGCTGACAAGTCCACATGATTAATGTAAATCTTGCAACCACACATTTTAGTTGCATGTATTCCATCACCTGAAATCCTTGGTTATCTTTTCTAGAATAACTAGGCCAAGGTTGGGGGACCTGCATGCCCTCTGAATGATAATAATAATCTGCAACACCCATCATGCTTGGCCATTAACCATGTTGTCTCCGGCTGAATGGAGTCCAGATTATTTCTGGAAGGCAACTGGTTCCTCATCCTTGAAATATGCAATGGTGGGTGTAGAGGAGCTTCATGAGTTCATCCCAAAGAGCTTTAATAAGACAGAAAGCTGTTAAGAAACAGTAACAAGCCACATGGATCTGACAGTAAGAAAAAAATGTAAGTTGCCTTCCTCAGTGGTACAGAAATCAGCACTTTCTCTTACACTGGGCAAATTCACATGCCAGAGCCCCACACTCTACCACCTTCTAGAGAGGGTACTCTTAGATCAGGCTGTCTTCTTAGTTACTCATAGAGCCATGGCAATCCCACTTGTTGGACATTTTTAAAAAAAGGACTGATACACTTTTGAAAGAAATGCAGTGCTGACTATTCATCTGGCTCCAGTGAAGAATGACTTATGTGCATTTTTGTGAAACACAAATTTGCTGATACTCAAGACCTTAAAAGAATAGCAGTAAATTAAGTGCCGGCATGTTGCAGATCACTTATATCATCCAATCTTCCTTGCAAAACAAAACTAAACTTGCAACATATATTTCCATGTTCCCAATGTCACAATGGATTCTCTCATTTGGGGAAAAAAAGATTAACCCTTCTCTACTTATGCTGAAAGAGAAGTTGGTTCTTGGTTCTGTGGTGATATCCATGTCTTTTCTCCCAGCAATAACCAATAGAAAATACATCTTTCTTAGATGCTGGTGGCAAATTTGTGGATAATAAGAAACCAAAGGACTCCATCTTCCAGCAACAAAAGCACCTGCTATCATATCTTCAGTGAGAGCAATCAGGGGTGCTCATGCAAACAAAACCACCGAAGTTTATGAGCTGGCTGAGTATTTTCAGTATATGTTCAGGTGACCTCCGGCCAATGCATGACCATGTTTTATTATACATCCGAACCAATGCATGAAACACAGTAGACTCAGGCTCCAGGATGCAACTGTGTTTGCATGGTTGGTTCCCCGAATTATTCTGAATATTAATCATGTGTTGTTGCCACCTTTGCCATCATCAAACCTCAAAGTACAATTTCTGTTCATTTTAGTAAAGCTGCTTGACAATAACCCGTGACATTTGTCCATTGAAACTCCATGTACTGTTAGTAGTTACCATAGGTTTTATGTTTCTTTTTATTACTATGGGGTACAAACCAGGGGAAGTGAGGACGAACTTATCTTGAGGCTGATAGGAAATCATGTTTTGGCATTGAAAGTAGGAAAAATAATATCTGAGTTTTTCCTGAGGGGGTAGGTTGTGTAGAGCCCAAGTAGCAAAGCTGAGACAACGTTTCTCAAAAAAGTTTTTTTTTAAAGAAAACATGTCTGATTTTTCTCCCTCCTCAGTCCAGTCCTGGGGGTGGGGGTGGGGATGCACTGAAGAATTGGCTAAAAATATTCTCCCACAATTTCTGATAGTGACTTCTTTACAAAATCCCAGAAAGAGACTAAGTCTCAGACAGAGCATTCTGGAACACCTAACATGGTGGCCATCTTGCCTGTGCTGTGACTGCTATTGTCACTTGTGTGAGTGGCAGAAGCAATGACAAAATGCCATTTCGCTGGCGTTGCTAATGCTAAGCACCATCTCCAACAAACTGCTGGAAAAAAAATTCTTCCCTTGAAGAGATTTGGTGAACAGCCTTCCCAAGGTTACTCCCCACAAAAAGATGGAGGCTATGGAGAAGAACTTCTTCTAGAGCATACATAAAGGGTCTTGAATGCCTAATATGAGCAGCCTTGGCCAAATTCTTTATTTAGTTTTATATTGATATTCTTACCCTTTGTCTTCCTCCCCTTCAAAATCACTAAACAATACGAATGCTGGTATTTTTTTATCCTTATTTCCATTTTGTTTTGTGTGCTACCAAAGTTATCCTCGAGTACATTACAGAGTACTGTTTCAATAAGTAAATTCTGGTAACAATGTTCAAGGTAGCCCCCTGGGGATACTAGGGTGTCCCCAGAACTACTGAAGTCACCAATGAAATGTTGCCTGTAACATAATTTGAAAACATCATGTGGAATTTCCTCCTCAACTGAAATATTCCAGTGAAAAAGTGTGATAAATTACTAGCTAGATGGTTCACAGGAGGTTTCCACACATCCCACCATTTGTTTCGGCAATGTCGTCTGTGGTGAAATTGAAAACTCATGATGTGATTCCTTCTTAAGCAAAACATCTGAGACCTTGCAAAGGGAGTCAACTCTCCAAGTTGGGTGTCTCATGTTTCTGCTTGGGATGCTTTCAGACTGTGATTTATAAAGAAACCAACAAACCCGCACACAAGATGGGAGCGTTGCCTATTGTACCTGTGTGTGTACTGTATTTTAGATTAAAGCCAGCCAAGAGAAGCCATGTCTTAAGGTCCCTTATTTATTATTTATTTGAATTTTAAGTTATTTTGATTTTACATAAAATGTGAAACATGCAATATGAACTGGGTTTTCATTAACTGATTTGAAGTACTATGTAGTTGGAGGTTTTAGCACTGTGGGGGTAAACTTGTGCGTGTAAAGTTGGTTTTCTCCTTTTCTTGTTTTGTGGTGCCTTTGCTCCATGGTTATTTATTAGCAATTATTTATTTAACTTATTCCTCTCCCTCTCTTTTCTGGAGAGAGTGCCAACCCCTAGTTTCACCAAGCAATAATATATATATATTTGAATGCTGTTTTGTATCCCTTTCAGAAGTAACTTGCGTGTGATGTCATGACTGGCTGTAGCAACAGCAGTATAAGCAAAAAAACTATCTGAGGTTATGCATATCAGAGAACAATCTTACACTTCCCAGTAAACAAAGGATGGTACTTAGACAGCTGAAGGTTTCCCCGTACACAGGTAGAAATTCCACTGGTGGTGTTTTGTCTACAGAGGAGCAAAAGAAGAAGGAGCAGAACTTGGAAACATTATTAAGATGATCAATTTATTAATACTGGCATTTCTATTGAAATGTACTTTTAAAAGTAATGGTGCTAGTAAAAAAGAACTAGGCAGCATATAGTACCATTTTCTGTAGGTACGTCAGGAAACGGTGACAAATTGACACAAGTTCACAATCTCTCTTTTCCAGCCCTTTTAAACAACATTCAAAAATACTGTTGCTACTATTTCCCTACCCCCACTTTTTAAGTAATGAGAATCAGCATCATTACTTTTAACTTAATAATATTAACATCACCTTTTTCTGTAATAAGGAAAATGTTACTAAAACCATCATTTTGCCACATTAGCGGTACTTTTTAAAATGATGCTGACACTGAAGGAAAAAGTGGCCAAACATA